TTATTAGACTCTCTTTTATCCAGATCAGAGACATCATCTCTCCCACATGAACCTGAAATGTTCAAGCAGTGGCAGTTGCTGTGTTATATTTATTCCTGTATACTTTGTTCTATATTCACCGGTCTTCCATCTGATTACTGTAAGTTTCAAAAGTTAGAATCATTAACAGGGTTAAATACGGTATAGTGAGTAAACTATGCTAGGAAAAAAAAAGAAGCATCAACATCTGAATTAGCTTCTCCTTCTCTCAGTGCATGTGTTTATGCTGAAGACTGTCCATGTACAGATTTCTTCTTTGCTGTGTAGAAAATCATAATGTGTACTACTTTCCCTTGATCCCCTGTAAGGCTTGGAGCAAGTCAAGATGGAACTGGAATTACCAAGGATAATTGTCATCTTTATTCTGCTTTCAGAGCTAAAGAGAGGCAGTTAAACCAACAAGATGCTCTTTATCTCTCTTTTTGAAATTACAACAGAGGTATGATGAAGGCATAAACAGGCTTAGCATCTCAGTGTGCCTGATTACATGATTTGAAACAAAGCTATGTATGACAATAGTGAAGCCTGTCCTGCACTAGAATAACACTATGTGGAAACTGTTTGAAATCCCTCAGTGTGGGAGGACATGGCCTGAGTCGCAGTTATGGCACTGAAGCATTCAAGAGCACACAGCAATTTGAATATCTTACAGTATTTACAAGTATATATTAACAAATACAAAAATACTCCCCTACTTTGACTTCTTGGAAGGAATAGGAATTTCAGGTGTGTAAGTACCACTAAACTGAATGGTAAGTGATCAGCAGAGTAGTGACTGTGAAAAATTCAGGGGTTGAAACTTTAGTGCCAACCAGACCAAAGGTAACTGATGAAACCACAATAGAGAAAGGAAAAAGTAAGGTCTGGATGAAACAAAACTTTAATAACTAAGCTGCAATTCTTAAACAGTTTAAATTTTAAAGGCAGTTGCATATTTTTATTCAGTAAATTCTTTTATTCTGATTATATTGCTGTATTGACTGTTCATCTCAATATCTGAAACAAGCATGTTTTTTGAGCAAAGTTTAAGAGAAAATAATCTTAACTGATTACATTTAGCAACTTTTTAGAAAAGACAACAGTTTTTGCTGTACTACAAAAAGACTAACCAGCATACATATCCATCCTTGTAACTATTCTGTTGTATTAGTATAAAAATCTTGGCTGTCATTGTTGCACATTGGTAATATTCAAATCTAGTAGAAAAAACAAATTCATATGAAAACAGGGACTCAGCATGCACAGCAATCACATTTTAAACTTCAGTATTTCAACTATTTTTAATTAAAAAGCAGACAAAAAGCCCAAACCAAAAAAACAGGTCCAAGTTCATTGAAAGGACCAAAACAGATACATAGAAAATCTCTTTGAGAAGAACCACTGATCTGAAAAAGAAATCAAACCCACTTTTCCATCACTTATGCTTAGTACCTCTGTGACTTCAAAAACTAATTTATTTTAAAGTTTGTAAAAGAAAAAAAAGCTTTGTTGGACTAAGGCTTCACTTATCAAGTTTCATCCTGGAGGGAATTTTTATAGCTGAGTTATAAACCCTCCACACTAGAGTGTTTATAATGGAAACGCTGACAAATGCGATAATAAACACCAATCATGGGGCCTTAGAAGCTGGTCAGAATGTGGATGCAGGAGTTTGCAGTGCTATCATAATATTTTTTTCTGTTTCCAGCACCGAT